CGCATTATTAGGGTCTGAGACCATAGGTCGGCGAAGACCCTATTGAAATCGGTCGCGCAGCGACCGATAAACCTGCGAAAAACACATAAAAACAGGGAAAACGACCGGCAAAAGCACAGAAAAGGTTCGGAAATAGTAACGGCAGATAGTCCGCGCGAGCCCAGTCACGTGGGCGAAGCCCACGTGAGTGCAACTCGCATAATTAATATCGTTACGATCAATTTAGTCGCTCGCGAAGCGAGCGATAACCATGCAAAACCCACTAAAAACAGGGAAAAAGACGGGTAAAAGCCCATTAAAAGTGGCCTAAATCATGACAGTAGGTAGCCCACGCGAACCTAGTCACATGGGCGCTTCGCGCCCATGTGACTAACTTGCGCATTATTGATATTGGTCCGATTATTTATTAGGGTCTGAGACCATAGGTCGGCGAAGACCCTATTGAAATCGGTCGCGCAGCGACCGATAAACCTGCTAAAAACACCCAAAAACAGGGAAAACGACCGACAAAAGCACAGAAAAGGTTCGGAAATAGTGACGGCAGATAGTCCGCGCGAGCCCACTCACGTGGGCGAAGCCCACGTGAGTGCAACTCGCATAATTAATATCGTTACGATCAATTTAGTCGCTCGCGAAGCGAGCGATAACCATGCAAAACCCACTAAAAACAGGGAAAAAGACGGGTAAAAGCCCATTAAAAGTGGCCTAAATCATGACAGTAGGTAGGCCAACGGCCTACAGTGACGTGGGCGTAGCCCACGTCACTGTAAACGAGCACATTATTGATATTGGTCCGATTATTAGGGTCTGAGACCTAGGTCGGCGAAGACCCTATTGAAATCGGTCGCGCAGCGACCGATAAACCTTTGACCCCCGCAACATATGTGAAAACTCACCAAATTTTGCACGCGCGTCAGAAGTGGTGCAACTTGCGATATGTAATTGGTTCCGGAACTTTACGTTAAAAATTGCGTAGGCCACGCCCACTTCCGCTTATATCGTACAGCCGGCAACTTTAACTTTCACGTAAACAAACGAAACTCGCTACGCATATCTAGGGTGCGGAGACGAACAAAAAAGCCTCTTGGAGGGGTAAAAAATAACGTTCAGGAAGTCGGCCATTTTGAATTTGGCGTCGGAAAAACGCGATTTATCGCGTTTTTCGTCCTCCGCGCAAAATCTATCTTCTCCCAGGGACTTTATCCGTACGACTCGAAATTCGTCAGGTAGCATCTCGAGACATGGGCAATTAAAAGTTATCACGGAAGTTTTTTTCTTTCGCACGGCGCAGCCGTTATTTGGCGCCAAAGTTCGCGTTCGCTCGATGCTAGGCCCATCAAACGCCATGGAATACGATGATGTCATAACACCAACTGACATGCTCACAACGCCACCAAACTTCACAATGTTGTCTTAAGTCAATGGAAAATGCTCCAAACTGCACCAGACTTCAGATGACAGTTAATGGTCCGGCCCTCAACACATTAATATGACAAAAGTGAGTTTTCCTCAAAAGCTGTTGCCATGGCAACAAATCTCTCGCCATAAAACACGGTGTCGCTGTAAATCCAATGGACACGGTCCCATCGTCCCCCAATCTTCACCTTTATATCACTGGTCCATGACTCAACAGCTCTACGTGAAATCTGAGATCTCACCGTATGCCGTTTCCATGGCAACGCATTCCTCGCCATAAAACACGGTGTCGCTGTAAATCCAATGGACACGGTCCCATCGTCCCCCAATCTTCACTTTTATATCACTGGTCCATGACTCAACAGCTCTACGCGAAATTTGAGATCTCACCGTATGCCGTTTCCATGGCAACGGATCCCTCGCCGTAAAACACGATGTCGCTGTAAATCCAATCGACACGGTCCCATCGTCCCACAATCTTCACTTTTATATCACTGGTCCATGACTCAACAGCTCTACGCGAAATTTGAGATCTCACCGTATGCCGTTTCCATGGCAACGGATCCCTCGCCGTAAAACACGATGTTGTCTTAAGTCAATGGAAAATGGTCCAATCTGCACCAGACTTCAGATGACAGTTAATGGTCCGGCCCTCAACACATTCATATGACAAAAGTGAGTTTTCCTCAAAAGCTGTTGCCATGGCAACAAATCTCTCGCCATAAAACACGGTGTCGCTGTAAATCCAATGGACACGGTCCCATCGTCCCCCAATCTTCACTTTTATATCACTGGTCCATGACTCAACAGCTCTACGCGAAATTTGAGATCTCACCGTATGCCGTTTCCATGGCAACGGATCCCTCGCCGTAAAACACGATGTCGCTGTAAATCCAATCGACACGGTCCCATCGTCCCACAATCTTCACTTTTATATCACTGGTCCATGACTCAACAGCTCTACGCGAAATTTGAGATCTCACCGTATGCCGTTTCCATGGCAACGGATCCCTCGCCGTAAAACACGATGTTGTCTTAAGTCAATGGAAAATGGTCCAATCTGCACCAGACTTCAGATGACAGTTAATGGTCCGGCCCTCAACACATTCATATGACAAAAGTGAGTTTTCCTCAAAAGCTGTTGCCATGGCAACGAATCCCTCGCCATAAAACACGGTGTCGCTGTAAATCCAATGGACACGGTCCCATCGTCCCCCAACCTTCACTTTTATATCACTGGTCCATGACTCAACAGCTCTACGCGAAATCTGAGATCTCACCGTATGCCGTTTCCATGGCAACGCATCCCACGCCGTAAAACACGGTGTCGCTGTAAATCCAATCGACACGGTCCCATCGTCCCCCAATCTTCACTTTTATATTACTGGTCCATGACTCAACAGCTCTACGCGAAATTTGAGATCTCACCGTATGCCGTTTCCATGGCAACGCATCCCACGCCGTAAAACACGGTGTCGCTGTAAATCCAATCGACACGGTCCCATCGTCCCCCAATCTTCACTTTTATATTACTGGTCCATGACTCAACAGCTCTACGCGAAATTTGAGATCTCACCGTATGCCGTTTCCATGGCAACGCATTCCTCGCCGTAAAACACGGTGTCGCTGTAAATCCAATCCACACGGTCCCATCGTCCCACAATCTTCACTTTTATATCACTGGTCCATGACTCAACAGCTCTACGTGAAATCTGAGATTTCACCGTATGCCGTTTCCATGGCAACGAATCACTCGCCGTAAAACACGATGTTGTCTTACGTCAATGGAAAATTGTCCAAACTGCACAAGACTTCAGATCATGGCTACTAGTCCGGCCCTCAACAGCACTATGTCAATTATGGGATGTCATCATATGCCGTTTCCATGGCAACGAATCACTCGCCGTAAAACACGATGTTGTCTTACGTCAATGGAAAATGTTCCAAACTGCACCAGACTTCAGATCATGGCTACTAGTCCGGCCCTCAACAGCTCTACGCGTGTTCTGGGATGTCATCATATG